AACCAGAAGGGTGCTCCAAGGGCTTGTACAAAATGGAAGGTTTTTTTTAGGAAAAAGGGAGCAAGGGAGAAAAAAAGGAAAGGATTGTTTTTGGGCTGAACATCATTGGGGGAAAGAGATACAGGCAGTTGTTTTTTTTAAAAAAAGATTTTTATTGTGCTAGAGAGAAGAAGGGAGAGGAAGAGAGAGACAGAGAGAGATCAGCTGCCCCCTGCATGCTCCACACTGAGTATCGAGCCTGAAACGGCACAAGCCCTGACCTGGAATTGAACCAGGGACTCTTTTTGGTGTATGGGCTGATGCTCAACCAAATGAGCCACACTGTCCATGGCCTGAATGGTTTTTGTTATACAGATTGAGGACGGAGAGGATTCTCTTTTAACAGATAACCTTACTGGTGCTTGACCATAAAATTCCAGACTGATAAGTTTCTGGGAGAGGTTGAAATTGCAGTTAGGTCAGGTATTAAATTTAGGTTTGGTATCAGGGACTTTCAGCATGAGGGATGCCATTTTGGGCCTATGGTTTTCTCTTTAACAACAACTTGGAGGTGATTGGCGACTAAAGCAAAAGTCACTTTGGAGGAGTGTTAGGGGCAGAAACCATCTTGGAATGTATTTTTGGGTGAATGAGAAATCGAAAATAGTTGACGGTTATAAACAACTCAATTGAGGAATTCAGCTTCTGGGAGAGGAGAGTGATGAAATAAATACCAGGAGAAGGATATTGTTACTTTAATTTATGATTTTTACAAACCTTTATATTGTGCAGACATCATGGTAAAGAACACAAAATTAAAGTAGAGGTCAGTGAAATTTTTACAAACCCAACACCTCTGTAGCCATCATGTAGGGTAAGAAAAAGAATATTACGAACTTCCTGGTTATTTTGAATTTCATATAGATGCAATTATTCAATATAAGGTCTTTTGTGTCTGGTTTATTTTGCTCATTATGTCTGTGAGGTTCATTCATGTTATGGTGTATGGTAGTAAGGTAGTTCATTCTTTTTTCTGTGCTCAAAAGTATTCAATTGTATCAATATAACACTGCTTGTTGATTTTGTTGACGGACCTTTGCGTTCATTGCAACTTTTGGCTCTTTTCAAATAGTCTTGCTATGGATATTCTTGTGCATGTCTCTTAGTGTGTATGTGTGTGCTAATGCTTCTAATGAGCATGTATACCTAGAGTGGAACTGCTGTCAGAGGGCGTGGTATCATCAGCTTGAATAAGTTGTCAAACTGTTTTCCAAAGTGGTTGTACTAATTAAATTCACCAGCATTGAATAAGCAATCCATTTGCTCCACATCCTCTCCACACTTGGTTTTGTCATTGTGGTTTTAATTAGCATTTCATTGATTACAGCAAATGAGGTCCAGCCACTTTTCATGTTTTATTGATCTTTTGAATATCCTCTTTTTGAAGTGCTGTTTCATGTCTCTTGCCTATTTTTCTAATGACTTACCTTTCATATAGATTTTTAATTGTTACATGTACTGGATGAGTCCTTGTGGGGTTATGCTTGTTGCAAGACTCTTCTCTCATCCTGTGGCTCCTGATTAACAGAAGTTCTTCATTTTTTTAAAAGTTAAATCTTTATTGTTCAGATTATTACATTTTTTCCTCTTTTTTCCCCCCCATAATTCCCCTCCTCCCAGTTCCCACCCCGCCCTCCGCCCTCACTCCCCACCCGCTGTCCTCATCCATAGGTGCACGATTTTTGTCCAGTCTCTTCCTGCATCTCCCACACCCCTTCCCCCCGCAAGAATAGTCAGTCCATTCCCTTTCTATGTCCCTGATTCTATTATGATCACCAGATTATTTATTCACTTGATTCTTAGATTCACCTGTTGAT